TGTATGTATGGACTACTTGGAAAGTTTACTTTAATACCTGATTCAAAATACAATCCAGAAAAAAACTCTTTCAGCCATCTGAATATGCTTCAAATACTTTAGAAAAACTACCTTATAGACTATTTCAGATATTTGCATCTGTTTTTCTTCTGCTTCCATAGAAATGCCTTTTATTAAAAATCTCTTTGCCTGCATAATATATAAAGGCATAGCTAATTTGCAATGTCACCTCCTGGAATGGAACACATTTGTTTAACCAAACTGATCTATTCTCAGAATTAACAGTCTGCTAAAAGAATATGTGGGACAATATATTTAAATTTGCTATTTTCTGCTATCCCAATTTGTTTTCTACTCCTTATCAATCTCTGTATAACAACGTCTAACCCAAATCTCTCCAAAGCTATCAACTTAATCCGTTATGTGAAACTTTAAAGTTTCAAACTGGGAACTGAAGGAAATAAAGATATTTTACACCAAAATATAATTATCTGGCATGTTTTTAGGTGGTTGTTTAGAGAGCTAGCAAACATAAGTAGCCCAGCAAAGCAGTCTTTTGTGAGGGAGGGTTGCATCTATAGACAAAATCAGTATTGATGGAGTTTAGTTTTCTTTGAGGCCTTCTTTTGTATATCCTAGAAAGGTAGATTCAGAGTCTGGAAGAAGTATTTATCATCTAGTCTCTCTGAGAGCTTCTGATTGTGAGATATCATCTGTATAACATGTCCACCTTCTCCTGCCAGGCCTCCTCTTCTCCCGCTCCCATAACCTGATTTACCACCATAACCTGTTTGGGGCCATGCTCTGAGACCCCACTCTTTGAGTAACTTCAAGATAGTACATAATCTTCTGGTTGAAATGAGGGACTGGGGAAAGAAAAATTACACTAACTCTGTGGTTTTTCCTTGTGTGCGTGTTAATAAAGTTGTGCATTTTTTGTGAGTTGATTTTCCAGTGACTCTTCAGTAGATGAAAGAAAAATTTTTCCCTTGGCCTCTACAGCATCATTGGAACATGACCACTGTCAGGGATGTTATTCATGAAATAAGAGCAAACATTCATACAACTACAGTAAATAAAGAAGTGTTATGGTGAATAACTTTAAAATTTTTATGAACCTTTAGAGTTAGTGTAAAGATGAAAATATTTGAAAAAAAAGACATAGTAGATATGACGATCAATAAACATTTAGCTGACTCCGAGATAATTAGTACTCTTGAAGGATATGAATGGAAGAATTAATGGATAATATTATTTAATATAGCTGAAGAAAATTACATGAATTGAAAAGAATAATAGATTCATGTTTTTTTTTAAATCAATGAAAAGAAACCTCAAGAATCAAAACCATTCTAAACCCTCAAGGTCAAATCTATAGACAACAGCCTGAAATCATCCATTAACATAAAAATTTAATTTTTAATAAACCCCTACAGTATGTAAAAGGAAAATTTGTGATACAGAATTTTATACTCAGAAAGCTTATCTTTTATATGAAAAATCAGGAAAATTTCCATTTCTTAGGCATGAAAGTATGTAGAAGAAAATAATAGTTTTATCTAAGATGCAAAACATAGATATAGTAGTCAATCAAAACCAAACTAAAGGCGGCATATCTTTACTAAGGGATAAAACATGAGAAAGGACAAAACAAAACAAAGAGAAAACTATGGCCAAATTTGTATGCATCAAAACAGATGTGTGGGTAAACATGTTGTTAAATATGATGCTATTTTAGTGTTCTTATTTGAAGAAACAAAACAACTTTATCAATTTTAAATAAAAGACTTATTAAAGAAGATTGGATAAGTTGTAGAATCTATAGTCAGGTCAACAAATGAAGTCAGGAGTCTGCGCAATCATCTATGATATCACAAATCACTGTGTAACTCTGACCGATGCCCTGTTGCAGAGAGAATCAGCAGGCTGCGCCTCAGACATCCTGAAGAAGGATACTGATTTTTTTTTTTTTTTTTTTTTTTTTTTTTTTT